TAACTACGGCGATCCGAGCAAGCTTTTTTAACACATGGTTTTAGGTGTAGACATATATCATATATATCTCGATGTATTGAGTGAAGGATGGCCAATCGATTCCTAGTATTGTACTCATATTATACAGTGCTGCATGAAAAACACCCCAAAATCACGTTGCATCCGCCACCAAACAATTGAAGTCATTGAATCTAAATGTGCTGCAAAAGCACACCCAGAGTAGGCAAATATTATGACAGCCGAATAAAGAATCCGCTTGGCTGGCCACGATTCAATTTTCATTCGTTACCATTTTACATCAATATTGTCTCAGATTCAATCGCCGAGTTTGCTTTAAATTAACAAGTACTTGCAGCACGAAAGAACGATGATCGACTTATCAGTCTGGGCCGGCGATAGAAAGATTACATTTTACTAATACCATTGTCTTTTAATTGAAGCGTGGTTGGAGTACTCGGTAACGGGTCCTACGCGACTCTGATCCCCATCATCCCACCCGCCGCAAATATGGTCTATCTCCAGGTAGTGACAATGGAAGGTAGCTATCCCAAGCCTAGTACACCGATGGTCGGTTGTTTCAGTGTACTGTTTTTTGGACATTATATGCTGAATAAAAGTGCAACGTAAATAAAATATTAATATTATCAGTATGTCTATCACAGTGTTTAACAATACTGTAAAACACATTGAAATAGCAACATGCCATATTAGCGAATTTGACTGAATACTTGAATTAACAAAATCTTAATTTAGCTAAAATGCCAACAATCTCATTGTGAGAATATACTTTATTCGAAATTAGCGACATCTTGAATTAGCGAAATTACAGGTTAGCTAAATCAGCTAAAATGACATGCTAGCTGATGAAAAAAACTTGTTTACAGTATATTAGAGATGTGGTTTGCTGTGGAGTTTGTATCACACTCTCGCCACAGCGGGTAGATTCAGTCAATCCTGGGGACTGCACTGGTGAATCTTGGGGCACCAATGTTTCTATTATTATTATGTTTTTTTTAAATAAAAAAAATGAGTCTTTCATTTCTACTATTGGTTACTCCTAGAAAATGCATTATTGAGCATTTTTTCCCAGTTTTGTTTTTGTTGCAACAGAACACTCGAACTATGACATCCCCAAATGTCATGATGCAAGCATTGCGAGTTTGAACGAAAACAACAGATAAAAAAAAAACATTTCGCTCCAGTCCATTATAAAGACAATATTTCTTATTCAGGCGACTGACACTTGTGAAACGCCTTGTTTCATCGCAGAGCACTATCGCGGCTACCCAGAATAATTTTAGTACTCCACTTCAGTCTCGTGGTGGCGCCCTCTTATAATGGCGAGCGTTGGCCGGTGTTCACACTCCATTGTTTGCGGAGAAACAAACAATATGTTTCTCTCCGGATGCATATGATCAGGCCAATTGATAGTACATGGGAAAATTGGAAATTAATAACCCCGGGAAAAATACTCCCATTTAACACACACGTGCGCAATTTTTACGCTCGCATGCGACGTGTAACAAGTCTGCCACGAGCCCGCTGTCTGGAACATAGCTGGGCGCTTTTATGCATCAGCTCGTCGGGCATGTCATTTCATTTTAATAATTTATTAAAGAGGGTAGAATTTATTAAGTCCATTCAATCACAGTAAATTATGTTTGTCGAACGGGAAATGTGCTCAACGGTACCCGCTCGTCGAACCATGACTCTACTTGCATGTTTGAAAAAAACAAAATGTACGCCGGAGATGAAAGGATCGTTATTTTAGGGCAATGCAGTCACGGTGGCTACATCGCGTTTCAGAATGTCACCGGTACGCGGCTGCGTAACCATCGAATTACGTTTCTCCGGGGAGCGCCCGTATATTATGTACAATTATATCTGGCCATTCCTAAGTCTTTGTAGGAAAAATTGCCAAGGCGTCGTGACAAATTTAAACAATTTTCTCTTTGCGCTAAGTCCTTTACTTATTTATCTTTTCAGTATTTATTTCTATTGTGTACCCCACAAAAGAATGACACACAAACAGTGCGCGGTGTAGGTTGCGCACGTCTGCTAGGGGAAGAAAAAGGCTTTTTTTTTCTTTTACGAACTTAACAATAGTCCAATAGAATTACGTTCTCGTATTAAGAGAATCATCCCGTTATTACAACAAATCAAAGTTAAATTAAAACGTCGTTAGGACAAGTACTATTACTCTAAACTATACAAGACTATCATGGGAAAATCGAGCAAAGTCTTTTGATAAACAGAGACCCGAACGTCCACACACGAGTGGTAAACGTTTAGGCTAGTTCTCAGGATTTTTTGACGAGCGCGCGTCCCACATCCAACTGTTACGTGTCTGCTTCAGACATAAACGTGTTTATTGTAATTGCCATACGTGTTTCCATATACATGTATATACTCGGCCATGTATCTTCGTTCATTTTGATGCAGGATAGATTTCAAGAAGCGCATTAGAAAAAGATGTGAGCATTGACTTGCATCAATTAAAGGAGAGAAGCACGGAGCTGATACAACTCCGATTCATTCATTCATTCATTCATTCATTCATTCGTTCGTTTATTCACCCAGTCAGTTTAAAATTAGTTGACGGCATGGGAGTAAGCGCGTAAATGCGCTGTGAAGAGCGTATTTCCTCTGGGACGGTGACAGCCTGATACACTGTGAGAACACACAAGTTTCCGTTTTCACTGTAACGACGCACAGTTACAAATGACATATTAATTAAGTCATTTGGTTGTTTCGAGTCGAAAAAGAGTACCTTGGGTCGATTGGGTTTGCATAGACCACTCCACACCACTCGACGGTCGTCTCTGTGACGGATGATCGTGTGTCAGAAATTTTACATTCACAAATGTATAGAGTTAGAACGAGTCCCTAATCACGTCATACTAAATCCTCAACGGCTGTTGACTTGGGACGAGATTTCTGCTTTACTTGGTAGTAGTTTTCGAGTTATCTATTACTATGATTCTGATGTTTCGAAATTCTCAGCAATGTAAGCATTCTACCGGCGTTTGAAGGGAGGCTGATTATAACTTGGTAGTGTTTCGTGAGTTGTATGAGACGACACGCGACACGGGGAATCATCCCAAACTGGCACACTGTAATACTCGACGATAGATTTGTGATATAAAGTACTTCATCCAAACAATTCATCAACGATATCCTAGGTACGAACCTAGATAAAAAGGGAACCCATAGTAATGCAAGTATTACGTATAATCGATACTGAAGCTGGTGAGCCAGTCTCTTCTCAATTGTGTCTTTCACCATTAACGAGGAATTACGTATTTAAAACTAATGAGATTTGTGGTTGTGTACAATGATGGGAAAAATAACTCCATTCAATAGCAAAGATAATACTGGAAGAGTGGAACGCCTACCGTTTCTTTAACTCGCAACAGGAGAGGAGATAGGGGAGCGTTCGTCATTTATACGTATGTACACACTTTATTAAAGGTACATAGCAGAGGCATTGAAAATAAAATTTGCGGTTTTACCCTAATGATGGGAAAACTATTCGCCATGTAATATTAAGGAAGGGCTTTATCCCCAACCTACTGCCGTCTCGGGAAATACTGAAGGCCGTATTAGAGGACCCTGAAAGCAACCCACGTTGCAATGAAGCACACGCTCTTTATCTAGTGCGGTAATGAACACAAAGGAAACGGCACTGACAACTGAACGCGGCATGGCGTTCCGAACACTGATTTTCATCAGGCATATTTTTTGCCCGAATTCGGTTTCGAACACCTGGAGTTTTCTCATGTTGTGTCCGACGGTCACGAAACTAACTTCATCCATTGAGACTGCTGGGGAGAGGCCGGCCACATAGTTGTTGTGATGTATTAATTTATCAGTTGTGTGGGAGAGAAAAGAGGGCATGTCATCCATGGGAACCTTGACTCAAGGGCAATAACCCAGCCGCCCTTCAGCTTGGTAAATGTACTGTCATCCAGTCGAACAATAGCTTGGGGAACATCTCAGCTGTTTCGGCGTTCGGGATTGACAGGCATGGATTCGGACGGACATAGTTGGTCACGTGGCAATGATTGAGATATCTTAATTCCAGCAGCGTGAGCATTGCACGGAAGCTTTCGCATTGCCAACTAACACGTTGTTATAACGAACGTTCAAGTTGGAAAGGATACGAAAAATGTCACCTATTTTACTACACTCACAATAACAAATTTTACTGCGCGAAACCTTCCTAAACTTTCTCTTTATGCATGGGGTTATTTTTACAGAAATTAACAGTCACAATGTCTTAACCTAAAGTTGAGCTATATATTTGAAACCAACGTAAAGATAATGGCGACATTGTAAGAATAATCAGGTTAATTATGACATGTCACTATGATGCGCCCCACCCCGATAGAAATGTAGACCAAAAACCTGCACACGGTTATAATACGTCTGTACATCGAATAATCTACGAAAGACAAATCCATAATTATTTTTATTGACCAGAATTTGCGGTGATAGAATTTAACCAATGATGAGATTGAGCAGAGAGGATAAGGATGATTAGCCTTTTGTTTTTCTTATTTATTTGAATTTCATGATTGTTGCCGTTGGAAAGTGGAAGTTTGTAGTTCCATACAACGGGTTGCTGTTTCGATGATGAATGGTCTGAATCGAAACTTAAATAAAGTATATATAATTCTGAAGAAATACGTGATCAACAAGGAGTGCACGCTTCAATTTCGCAATTTTAATTACTTTTTTTGGAATCAAGTTTACATGGTGTAAAATCATAGCATTAACACATTCCCTTTATAGAGGGACTTGGAAGATTGAAATCCGGAAAGGCATTGAAACGAAACTCCGTTAACAAATATACAGATAATTAGAATCTTATCTTTGACAGCAAACACAGATTGCGCAACGTCAATCAAAATCAAAATGGCACCTAACGAGCCTGACAGTCTCTCTATAGTCTTTGTGGTTTGTTTGAAGTAACATTCAAGAAAACGCTCTCAGAGTCATCCAAAATCCTGGCATTTTATTTAATTCAAATTACCTCTAGAATGCCCGACGCAAGCCGCATTCATGACTCAATTACTCAAAACATATGCGGGGGCAATCTCCGTATGTGTACAACGATGCCGTGATCGTCCCACGGTGTTGTTACAAGGCAGGGTGTCGGGCGACAATTTGCTTTGTTTACAATTAACTGTTGTGGTACTAAAAATTAGGGATTCTTTGATGCACAGTGTGCTCTTTTCAGATCCCCCGCTCATCAGAAAAATATCTATTCATAGTAATTACTAGATCTTGTCAATATGACGTAATTAGTGTTTTATGTGCCATTGTGTAACTATCTGTCTTTATGAAAGCATATACGTAACACAGCACAAGCTGTCTTCTCTTCACTGAATTAATATATCATAAATAGCTGTCATCCAAATGGCAACTGCTGTGGCCCCTGGGTCAGGCTTGGTTAATTTGTCTTGACTCACATAACTAGCACGTCCTGCTTTGGCTTCCATTTTTGCAGTAGCTTCGGCAGATTCTTCGGCCGCCTATAGACAAGAAAAGACGAAGACTTAGGTTACTATTTTTCTAAGACGAAATTACACACTTGGCCCATGAGGCTTGCAGCCCCCTAACATTTGTAGGGGCATCTTCGGCGTTATTCGCCTTATTATAAATATTCGATCGACGATATTCCCTTTCTCAGATCACACAAATACGTCTCTCGTCACGTGTGTTTGTAGTGGATTATGGGGGAGACTATACATTATTAACCTACCCGCACGGCTTTTCCAAACGCATCCAGTGACGTTACGCCCCCTTCCTTAAGTTCCGAAACAAGAACTTTATATGCTGCATACAACGGGTCCAGCTACGAATAAATACATATCATTCCTATATATGAGAACTGAGAATTCAAATTACCGTTACTTAACATCATTCACACATTTTTTAGATTGTATTCGCAGTCGTACGTGAGAACGGGTCAATGATATCCGAGTGTTTTGTATAACCGTTTCATTAATCTCTGAAGGAAGTATTAAAAGACTGTTGACCACGTCGCTATATTTTGACCTGATATTGACCCGATTGACTATATTTAAATCATTCTCTTCAAACTAATGGTACAAGAACACCTAATGTGGGCATACCATGGTTCTGTCCCCGGGTTCAGCGCCACCATATCTACGAGGCAAACACAATGTCAACCATTTAATGACAATTACATAGCGCACACACAGCAATTAATTGTTTTTGTTTTGTTTGTTTGGTTACTTTGTTATTATGTTTAGTTTGGTGAAAATACAACCAGAGACCAAAAAGGCTCTCGAAGTTACAATTCAATGCAAATCACGCAAAGAACAATGGGATTATCATGCAAATCTGGTATCTGAATATATTTAATGCACCACAGTCATTTTGCAACAGGTTCGAATTTTCAAAATGTGTATTTTACACGTATATAAAGGTCGCGCATATATTCAATATATCAGGATAATACACGTGCAAATGAGCGTAAATTAAACAAAACGGATTAATGTGGTCTGCAAGACTCCCAAGACTCCCAATAATCCCAATAATCATAGGCTGGTCACAAGACTACTCACTTAGATAAAGCTGTAATGACAGAACCAAGGGCGTCAACCCAAGCATCGATGTCTGTTGACCTCTGCAAAGGCGTTGCGGCAGCTGTACACAGCAAACCATAGAGCTGGTGTGGGGCAGATAGTTAGAAGTAATGAAATGAAATGAAAGAACCAAAAACATCACTTAAAATATGAAGTAGTTTAGTTAAATTACCACCTTATCTGTTAACGAAGCATTGGTAGTCGGGGATGGTGAGCGGCAAATATGGCACAGTGGAAATGGTCTAGGCGGAAATACTGGCACACCGTCTTGTTGCAAGACACGATAATACAAAGACAAGTACTGTGTTTCTTTTTATCACTTTTAATAAATGTTATCAAGGCTGATCCGACACCAGTCCAACCTTTTCGATCACAGGAATTCATATTACCGATAATTTACTAATGAATCTACGGTTACAGGAACTGTTTATTTGTATTAATTTACTTACAACTTGTAAAGTACGCGTTATTGGTAAAGGCGACGAGCTTGTATGTACGAGATACGTGACATATATTTATTACTAGTAGTGGGCATAGAATGGTGCCAAATTAACAGCGTAAAAAATAAGCCAGTGATCCGGATTCGGAATGAGAGAAATGCTTGAATTGATTAATTGTTAGTACTAAAATGACCGTCATTCGGCCGTCTTGAATTAGATAATGGAATAAATGCATGTACATAATTATGTACGATGTGATGTGCGTGTACACATTGAATGTAGTAGGCCCAGGCCTAGACGGACGGACCTCGTATGATGAATTCATTTGTTATTAACCACCATAACAATAAGTAAGTTCAACTTACTGCCCCAGATGCACCACCACTTGTATTTTGAATTGAAGTTGCCATAGCGACAAACATGGCGTACGGAGTCATTTGTGAGAAAGAATCACACAAAGATAGTATTCCTGGAAAGAAAGGACGGCATATTACGAAAAGGAGTTAGTAAAGAAGAAAAAAACCATGATTTGACTATTATTCGTCATCAACTAAAATAATTGTTAGCATCTTTCGGTTGTGTTTGTCATTTCCTTTGTTGCCAAGATCTGCTGTCAGGGAAGTAGTCATGACAACTACACTGGCATGTTTCACGTTGCCGTTTCAGTGACATCTCAATATTAGAGTGTGCCCCATATATGAGGCCATATGCTCAAAATACAATTTGAAAGAAATATAAACAGATCAAACACAGCTAAGCTGTGGTTCCAGTAACTTCAGGTGAACACAATAGAAACCTTATTTGAGGAAAATAAACACATCTGTATTTACGTTCATGTTGCATATGAGAACTGTTGGAGACTACTACATCTATGCACATACTAACCCGGAGAAGAAAAGGGATAGCCATAGCGTTGACACCTGTTTGCGGGTATGTATTAGAATGTCGAAAACTATATTCGTGTTCCATATAGTAAACGTAAAATAGTAAACGGAAACATCTGCTGCTACATATGCTATACAATGGACTTACTTAAATAAACTACTTACTAATTAATAGTAACGTCCTACGAACTGTTACATTAAGTAACGCTGCCAGAGACAATACAAAGCACCCTTGTTTGTGGTGCCCAATGTAGCACTCATCGAGATCTCGAGTGTACGGCATTTACGCACGGATATGCGTTTAGAAGTTACACAATTCACAGTGACTGTGATAACCCACAATTCCACGTGTTTTGTACTGGCTGATAAAGTACACAGCTATCTGTAATTTTTGTTCTTCTTTTCTCTAAACTGATGTTTAATGTTTTGCTTGAGTGGTAGTGCTTTTGTTGTCAACAGTAAACCGAACTTGGTTTAGAACCATACTTATCATTCTTGGATAACTGCCTTTCACGAGACTTTGAGGTAAATTCGACATTCTGATCACACATAAAATACATATTTGGAAAACTCATACAATTTATAGTGTCCAAATTGCGAGCAGTAACAAATTT